AGATTTCGTGTCTTGAAACACAAAGCATAAAGCCGCGAAAAAAAAAAAAAATTTAACTGTATGCGCGAGTCCAGGTTTGCCGAGTAATCTTCACTTTTTTCAAAACGCTGAGAGTAAATGAAATTATTTTAAAAACGTGCGAAAAAAGTAAAAAAAGAAAAAAAGGAAAAAAACACGAGAAAAAAAAGAAGAGTTTTTGTTATAAAAAAAAGAAAAAAAAAGTATGAAACAATATTACTTGGCACACTCGACAGCGCTTCAAAACGTCCATTTAGAAAGGATTAAATGTGCCATAAATGACAACACGGTCTTGTTCTCTTCTCTGTTGCTAGATGCCTGCATTGTGCCTGTGTCTGTCCCTGTCTGTCACTTAGACTCTAAACAACAACAACAACAACAACAACAACCATCACTAATGAATAACCAACAACATGAACAAAACAATCCACCGCATCTAGCGTACCAACAAGCGAATCACCACAGCTACACAACTGTAACCACGTCCAACCAACATGGGTCCACACCTATAGGCGCCCATCAGCAAGGTCCCGTACCATCCCACCTTCAACAGCAGGTGAGTCCACTGCTCTGTCCAGAAAGTTTTCACTTTTGCTTACCTGCGTGCTTTCTACCTTCTCGCTGCCGAACTTTTTCACAAACTTTGTGACCGACTGTACTTCTTTCGTTGGTTCCTCCTTCTCACTCACAGTCACCGCTTTGATTTCTAGTTGAATTTCTCTCTTAAGTTCCTTATCGAACCCTCTCTTTCATCTGTGGAAGAAAAACCCAAAGAATGATAATCGAGTCCGATGGCTTTGATTCAAATGAAGGATTGAAAGATATTTTGGATGATTCAGGTATGTTCTTGGAAGTTCCAGGCTGATCGATGAATCAACAATACAAATTGATGTATTGTTAGAAGGTCAAAGTGAAAAATTTGTACAAGTCGTTGATGTGAATTCGACACCTCTGTTTTCAACTGAATGTTGAATGATCTCGGACAATGCTCCAACAGTAAGTGCTTCTAACAGTAATACATTGAGAAATTTTACAATTGCGTGAAAAGTGGAAAAATTTTCTTCAAGAAATTAAACATTCAAAGACATGAGCTATCTCTAACATCTCTTTGGCATGGATTTGCATTTGGTAGATACTGTACTTGAAAAGTATGATATTTCAACTTTGCTAAAATTGTCAAGTAAATACTACTAAGAAGGAAATAAATTTCCGATACACTTTAACAATTGCGTTAACAAACAGAAAAAAAAAAAAGAAAAGAAACAAACCGTGGTATGCAGAGCTTATGATTCAATGCTTTTAATTAATAGTCATATTTAAGCATGTTAATAGATAATACGACACATAAGTTGCATGAATAGTAGTAAATCATGCTTCTACGATGAACTGAAATTTTCTGGTGTGAAATTTTCAGCTGTTCCTCTCTTTCCTTCTCTGTTTTTGTCATCTTTCATCTTCGCTTCTGTTTCGTATGTTCTTTTTTCCCCCCATTTTCCGTTAATTCTGCAAAATTTCAGTTGCATATCAGGCCCAACATATCTATCGATCTGTTACCCCGTTCAAAATAAATCAGTTTATTTATATAAAGCGGAAACGAATCACTATTTTAGAATACGTATTCTCAATGTTCGCATAGTCGTCCCTTCATCTGGCCAACGACTTACATTAGCTCGGCATATTAGCACAAATACATTACTTCTCATAGAACTTCTATGTACGATAGCTGCGATATATAATTAGAGAAGAAGCGAGACATCATACGTAATATATACATATATATTTAAAATTAACATACATATCAAATGATAAATCTTAATAATTCGCTTAGATCAGAGGTATATCACAAAGGAATCTGTTTATCGTAGAATAAAAATTCATTTGGACTTTTCAGGGTACCAACCTCTCGAAACGAACGCTACGGCCGATCGTTTGAAAACGTATAGAAATACGAAGATACGAACCAAGCATCTTTAAAGTTTGCGTTCGATGTTAATTTATGTCACTTTAATTTCTAGGGGAAGGGGAAGGGGAAGGGGAAGGGAAGCACGATCAATCGTGGTAGTAATGTGCCAGGAGGTATGCAAGGCCTTGGTCAGCATATGCAGCAACAGGACTATCAGCAACAGGACTATCAGCAACAGAATCAACCGTATCCGCAGCAACAGCCGAATCTGCAGCAAGAGCCGAATCTGCAGCAAGAGCCGAATCTGCAGCAACAGAATCAAGGATACCAGCAGCAGGGGGCAGATTTCGGCCCTCAGGGCCAGCAATTCCAGCAGCAACAGCCTCAGCAACCGCAACAGCAACAGCAGAATCAGCCGTACGGGCAGCAGAACCAAGGTTCCTCTATGCAAGGCAGTCAGGGCACGAGAAAGCCAATGAGAGGGATACCAACAGTATTGCCAACATTTCTGGCGAAGGCGCCGCCGAACACGCAGCAAGGTCAACAACAGCAACAACAGCAGCAACAGCAGCAGAGTACAGGGCCGAATCTGATGCAAAAATTCACGGAGATGGCCGGTGCGAGCGCTGGCGGCGACATCCTGTCGAAAGGGAAAGAACTGATTTTTATGAAATTCGGACTAGGCAAGTGAGTGATTACCCTGCCCGTGTCGCCAGCTCTGCTTCTTCTCCATTTCTATACCACCGCCGCGCTCTGTGTCGTGTGGATTGTTCGTGGTGAAAGTCTCCCGTCACGCCGGGAGTTTAGCCGTCGGTAAATCAGTATTAAACGAAGAAACGTTCAGGCGGAGGTTAGGCGAGACGCGCAGGCAGAAACGTACGAATGCGTCTCGTCCGATCAGATCTTCGCGAATATCCCTGAACAAATACAAACGTAAAATGTGTGCTGCCATTGCTGCTGCTGCTGTTGCTGCTGCTAACGACTGTTATTATTTCTCGCAATCTCGTTACTGGAAATAACGTTCGAAATTCGGGAAGCACTGTTCAACCGCGAGGAAGGCCGAGGAGAGTTATTTGTAATGTCTTTCTCGTTGGTTCAACTTCCTATACTTATTGTTAGCCAAATGAGAAGAAACAAAAAGGAATGTTCGCTTGCGTTTTTCTAATCGACACGTCTCTCTCTCTCTCTCGTGAAAAGGTCGAGAGTGTGATCTATCTGAACGTGAACTCGCACGATTGATGATCTTTATTCCTCGAAAAGCGCAGAAGATCCCTGAAAATAACGAATGATCTTTCGTTCCTTCTTTTTTCCGTTCTTCTTCTTCTTCTGATTCTTTAACTTCTTATTTTTTTTTCTTCTACTACAATTTCTTCTTCTTATTCCTTGAATATGATAGAATCTTTTTTCTAGATGTCACGTAGCCTGGTTAAAATGTTAATTGGAATGTTAAAATCTTTGACCATAACGGAAAATCTCCGAACATAATACAGGGATAGAAGCAATCGAAAATGTCACTGCATAATCAGATCATTATCAAGAGCTCATCCATCATTAGTCCAATGAAATAATTGTTCTTATTACATTAGATATCGATTAGATTGATAATATTTTATCTATATACATAAAAGAGGAAAGAACGGCAAGTGGACCGAAACGAAATTGCACGAAGTTGATAAATTTGTTAAAAACGAAAGGAAAGATGGAATTACATACTTCTTAGTTCAGGAGTTTTTTTAGACTGTTGCAGATCTCATGTTGCAAGAAGCTTCTACTTACAGTTTCAGATTTTGGTCGAATGGCCAACAGACATCCTAGCAAAATCGAACATCGAAACGTGACATAAACGCAGAATAAATTGTTACTCTTGTTCTCTATCATTTAGTTTTTCCTTCCTCTCCAGTTTTTCTTTGCCTGTGACGTTTCATTTCGCTTGTCTCGAAACGAGTACGACAAACAAAACTTTACGTTGAACAGTTGGACAGACAGGCGATGCAAAGAAAGAAGCAAACGTTGTGTCGTTGTAATAATGATAGCCATAAATGAACACGATGCAAGCGGATCATTCACGAAGGACTAAAACTGGAAAGTCACTCCCTGTCGTGATCGTGAGCACGACTACGAAATAAATAAATGACTGTACAAAAGACGGAAGTCAGACGACATCAAGAAATTACGCGTTAATGTAACAATTGACCGGAGGATTTATAATAGAGCGGCTCGTGGATCAAATTGAACTACATCATAAACATATAAATATATAAATATATAAATAAAACAAATAAATTAATTGATATCACTCCGAAGGAGATGACGGGATATGTGAATTTGAAAATCGATAGAAAAGTGAATATCTGAGGTTGGGTGGGGAGGGGGTAATATGCGAGAGATCATAGCATACGTATATTACGGTAATGAAATATAAATATATACATATGCATATACAGATATGCGTGCATACGTATACGTGTGTGTGTGTATATATATATATATATATATATATAT